CTGTTACAAATAAAGTCCAGTTGTTTTTGTATTGAACGCTTTTTGAATTTATCATGTCCTGGATGACTGAGAATCTTCACCAGCTTATTGTAAAGTGTTACCGATGCATCATGTATTTTTTGGGTAGTTAGGATTATACAGTGTGAAAAGTGTTTTTATTTACTGTCCTCTCGGTGAGTTTTTATTTTAATTCTTGTAGATCTGATCTCTGTTTCTCTGTTTTCTCTCTTGAGGATTCTCGTGTTTAAAGGTTCTTGGAAAAGATGAACAACACGACACTGTTTAAGGACGGGACCTTGGCAGAGATGCCTCTGAACGCCCCTGAAGTACAAGTTGTCACGATATTTCTGACAATGCTCATCTGCGGTGTGGGGATTGCTGGGAACATCATGGTGGTGCTGGTTGTGTTGCGCACTCGGCACATGGTCACACCAACTAACTGTTACCTAGTAAGTCTGGCCGTCGCTGACCTCATCGTCCTGTTGGCGGCAGGCCTGCCCAACATCTCTGATGTTGTCGCCTTCTGGATTTACGGCTACACGGGATGCTTGTGCATCACGTATCTTCAGTACCTGGGCATCAACGTGTCCTCGTGCTCCATCACGGCGTTCACCATTGAGCGCTACATTGCTATATGTCACTCCATAAAGGCACAGTTCATATGCACGGTTTCCCGGGCCAAAAGGATCATAGCTGGAGTCTGGATCTTCACCTCCCTCTACTGCACCATGTGGTTCTTTCTGGTGGACACTAAAGAAACCAAATACAGCAACGGGGTAAAGGTCACCTGCGACTACCGTGTCTCCAGGAATCTGTACATGCCCATTTACTTCCTGGACTTCAGTCTGTTTTACGTGGTCCCTCTCATTGTGGCCACAGTGCTGTACAGACTCATCGCAAAGATTCTGTTCATGAGTCCTCTGCCGGCACATCTAAACGACCGAGCAGATGGAGGGTCGGTCCACCGGGGTCACTCCAACAGCACCAGCAAGGCCAGCAAGGGAGCGGTTTCTGCACGAAAACAGGTACTGGAAAAGCACAGACACACAATGTACTTAGACTAAAACTAGAGAAATATCATTTCCTGAGAAAATTACTATTGCTGAAGAACTTGCTGAAAAACAGCCGAAATTAGTAACAAATTTTTTTTTTTAAAAGCTGAATTTTTGATGAAAAGGAAGAACAAGCCTAAATTAGCAGAATAAAGCAGAAAGAACAAATTTTTGCTGAATTAGGTTTAAATAAGTAGAAATGAGCTAAAAAAATAGGAAAGTAGCTGAAAAACACTGAAATGAGCATAAAAAATTACTGAAAAGTAGATGAAAAGGCAGAAAGAAACTTAGACTACCAGAAGGAAGTTGAAAAAGCTGAAATAAGCTTAAAAATGTGGAATTAGATGAAAGGGCTAAAAATTGCATAAAACAGCTAAATACTAGCTGAAATAACTGAAAAGGCTGAAACCAACAGAAACAAGCTTAACAAGCTTCGCAAGCTTGTTTCAGCATAAAAAGCTGAAATTAGTAGAAATAAGTTAATTAGGTTGGAAGTAGCTAAAGTTACCACAAAAAATTAGAATTTATCTGAAAGCAGTTGAAATTAGCTAAGGAAAAGTTAAAAAGGTAGAACAAGCTTAAATTAGCAGAAGAAAGCAGAAAGAACACCTTTGCCCAATTAGACTGAAAGCAGCAGAAATGAGCACAAAAAGTAGAAATTATCTGAAAAAAGCTGAAATTTGAAAAAAAAAAAAACACTGCTGAAAAGTAGCTAAAAAGTAGAAAGAAGCTTAAATTACCAGAAGGAAGTGGGGAGCACATGATTACTAAATTAGGCTAAAAAAAAAAAGTTGAAATGTGTGCAAAAAAAAATGTGGAATTAGCTGAAAAAGCTATAAGTAGCATAAAAAACAGTTAAATAGCATCTGAAATAGCAAAAAAGGCTGAAACTTGCAGAAAGGAGCTGAAAGGAGCATAACAAGCTGAAATTAGCAGTAAGAAGTTAGAAGCACAAAAATGTTGTCGTTATCAGAAAGAATCTGATAGGAGCACAAAACAGCAGAAAAAAAACAGCTGCAAGTAGCTGAAAAAATGTTTAAATTTTCCCAAGCAAGCTAAAAGAAGCTGAACCAGAACAAAATGTGAAAAGAACAGTAAAAGGTTGTAAACAGATCTAAAGATTTGAAGGATGGAAAATGAGCTGAATTCATTTTATATGAGGAAAAAATGGCAGAAAAGGCTAAATATTTCAAAAAGCTAATGTTGCACCAATACCAAGATTCATAGAAGGATTGTCCTGAACGAGCTGAAGAATACAGAATATTAATTTGAAACAGGATCACAATAGTGTGAATGCTTAATAAGCCTTCACACAATAAAACAGTTTTTACAGGGTAATCAAAGTTTTGACACAAAGGTTATGAAGTCAATGATCCAAACGTGGTCCAGCAAACATCAACTTTCTTCTAAAAAGCCCCAAAACATTTTGAAATAATCTAATCTGACATTTTTAATGTATAAACTGAATAAAATGAGTTAAAATAATAAAAAAAAACAAGATCAAAATAAATGTTAAGGATACTGCCACTGGCTCGTTAGGGTCGCCATGGTAACGGCAGTAGTGGTTTTTGATGAGCACGACATGGCTCCCCGCCCAGAGCGGCACTAAAGCTCTGAAAAAATAAAACGTGATCAGTCATCTGCCCCCTGAAGTTTTATGTTTCGTGTCATCAGAGCACCTCTGAGTCGTCAACGCCGATGTCGCCCAGGAAACAAAATGATGTTGTTCGTTTGATGTGCTTCAGCTATCATTATGAAAAGTAAAATAAACATTTTTAAATGAAATATTAACAGAAATGTTTGAGCCTTATTTAGTTTGTATTACAGTGTACATGTGATTCGGTGTGAGTGATTTTAATTATTTTATGATCAACATTGCTTCTCTTTTCCTGGTAAAATGGAGGAAGATATTATCCACAGATTGTTAAAGCGTGTGCGGTCATATTAATCTGAGCAAACAACAATGTGTCTGCATGCTCACCTTTTACACCCATGCTCAATGTGTGTGCTCACTCATGTATGGCAGACCATTTTGGTATATAATCAAATAATATTACCCTCTTTCCTTTTTGTTTTAGATGTCAATACAAGCTTTAGTTTTGGTTGTAGTTGAAGCTGCATTTCTCTTAGAGATGGGCATTGTTTTTGTTTTTGTTTGTTTGTTTGTTTGGTTTTTTTTTGGGGGGGGGGGCACTTTGCCAGGAGGGTAATCAAAGTAAGAACTACCTAAAAAAAAAAATCAACGTCTGTGTCTCTCACTCCCTGACTTCTAGGCCCCATTTTTACCACATCATGTTTTTGTTTTTTTCATTCAACCTTTATTTATACAGGTTAGTTCCCATTGAACCTGAAGGACTCATTTACCAGAGAGACCTGTTTCAGACAACAAAAGTATAAGGAAAAGAGAAACATAAGGGGGAGGGGAGGTAAAAAAAAATCGTATCTCGCACCTTGTCCTGGCTGGGGCATAATGTGAAAGTTACAAAATAAAAGACCTCACACATAAACAGCAACATACTAATGACATCATAATGCATTTATGCATGAAGAGGCCGACAAAGGCGGTGAGTTGTCTGTGGACACTGACAGATAGTTTCATAGTCCTGATAAGAGATGGCACAGTGGCTATCAGCCGGCTCAGCTCTGATACAGGTCCACAGATGTCCTCGGGAAAAGAGGGTAAGTGAGGGGGGAGCAGAGCAGTTTGTTCACATAACCTCCAGGAGAAACTTGAGATAGTTGACCTATTCAAGGCCAAGTGAGGAAGCCAGATTCAGATAACAATTGTTTTGGGACAGGCCATCTCTGCTTGATTTTTTGTCTGCAATAAGATACTCTGACATTTTTAAAATGTTTGTTTTAACGCTGATATTTTCCTCTGTTTGTACCTTCTGTCTACATTTAAAATTAATTTGTAAGAAAAAACAGGATTTAAAAGAAGAAGCTTCTCAATCAATTAAGTCTTAACTGGAGTTAGTAGGAGAGATCCCATCTCTCCAGTTTTAGCTTCTCTCCATTGGTTCCCTGACAAATCCAGAACTGAATTCAAAATCTTACTTCTAACCTACAAAGCTCTCAACAACCTAGCTCCATCTTATATTACAGATCTTATTGTCCTATATTATTCTAACAGAGCACTTTGCTCTTAGACTGCAGGTTTACTTGTGGTTCCTAGAGTTTCCAAAAGCAGAATGGGAGGAAGATCTTTCAGTTATCAGGCTCCTCTCTTGTGGAACCAACTTCTAGTTTCTGTCCGGGAGGCTGACACATTGTCCAGTTTTAAGATTAGGCTTAAGACGTTCCTTTTTGATAAATCCTATAGTTAGGGTTGGCTTGTTATGCTGCTATAGGCTTAGACTACTGGAGGAAGAATTGACCTCATTTCTTAAAATGAATTGTTACAAATGAATAGTTTTCATTTGATATTATTTCTATCTTAACGTGATTCTCGACCTTGCGTTGTGTATTTGTTCCTCCTCCTTGTCTTCTCAAACCCAACTGGTCCAAGCAGATGACCGCTTGTCCTGAGCCCGGTTCTGCTAAAGGTTTCTTCCTCATGAGGGAGTTTTTTCTTTCCACTGTTGCCTTCATGCTTGTTCAAGATGATAGTCTACAAGAAAGATAAAATCAAAGCAGTCTGCTTCTCAGATAAATAATATTAACTTATTATTTTTTATATATGACTGTTTCTGTTCAGTGCCCTGAGATGACTTCTCTTGTGAATGACGCTAAATAAATAAACTGAACTGAATTGACTTCAAGATATTTTAAAATTCAGATCTCTTAAAAAACAATCCCATTCTGCCTCTTTTGCCAAAGCCCACAATTTTCTTGTTGCAAACATCTGTAGTGCACCCAGCTTTCTGGAATATTTAGATTTTAATATACATTTTACACTAAATTATTATAAAGTGTCAAACAAAACTGATTCTCCCCCAACGGAGATGAAGGGCGAAACGTCTCAGCACAAAAAAAAAAGATACCGTCCAGATGACCTGACTGAACATTGTTGGATTTTATACCTGGATGATTGAGCATAGACTTAGATGTTTTGAACCAGTTTGACATGACTTTCGATGAGGGAGAGGGCGGGCACCGGAGTAGAGGGCAGGCCCCAGAGGCCATAACTGTTTTTTTTTTTCCACTTTGGAGTAAGCTGTTGGGGGAGAATCAGTTTTGTTTGGTGTTTCCTCAGACTGATGAAGCCTTCTGGATGGAAGGTGAAACGTCTCAGCACAAAAAAAGAAACTGTCCAGATGACCTGACTGAACAGTGTTGGATTCCCTCTAATCTTGTCTTTATGAACTTATTGACATGTTAAGATTAGCATTTAGTGATGGTCTCCCTCGGTCTCACAGTGGGTCCCGTCCAAAGAAACAGAACAGCTGACTCATTAACCTCCAATAATTGTACTTTTGGCAGAACAAGAGTTCACCCTTATGCTCATCATCTCCTTCTCTGCTCCAACAGATAACCAAGATGCTGGCCGTGGTGGTCATTCTCTTTGCCTTGTTGTGGATGCCTTACCGAACGGTGGTGGTCGTCAACTGTTTCATGAACCCGGCTTACGACAACACCTGGTTCCTCCTCTTCTGTCGCATGTGCATCTACACCAACAGCGCCATCAACCCCATCATCTACAACCTCATGTCTCAGAAGTTTCGTGTTGCCTTCAAGAAGCTCTGTAGGTGCAGCTGGCAGCAGAGAGAGGCCGAGTACAACGTGCCGACATATTACAGCGTGATGAAGAATTCGTCCCACGGAAGCAACGAACCAGTCACGGATCAGGAGGAGCTCATTGGTCAAACAACAAACAGGTTCAACATGAAGGACATTAATAGTGCCGTGCTTCATATTCCTTAAGAAACCGTTGATTTCAGTAAAAGAAATGGCATGATAATTATATTTTCCTTTTATCTCCAGATGTTAATAGATGTAACTATTCGTTGGGAAGAAGTGATGAGGTGTTTTGTGAGTGGACTTACAGACGTGCTTTTGAAGCTGTGCAGGAAAACAAGCAGCAATCTGAGCTGAGCTTTGTTGTTCATGGCCAGAGGCTCTGCAGTGCATCAGTTTAACACACATTTTAAATAAACTGCTTATTTAAATGCATTGGACCCTGCATACTGACCACTGGAGTTTACACTGAATAAAAACTAAATGTACTTGAAGATAATAAACATTTAATGTGATGCATGTTCTACAGATGCCTGCTTTGCATATTTTGCATTATGCCTTCAATGTCTGTGCTCTATGGTAACTGCAACAAGTCCTTTGTTGTGAGTGTCTCTGCATCTCCTGAGAGCTCTCATGTTTCCATGTGATCTGGCTGGAGACAGATGGACCACACAGTTTCACGGCACTAACGACACACATCCTCTGTTTTCAATAGGTAACACATTTCTGTAATTCAAATAAGACAATATGTAAAAAAAAATTGACAGAAGAGTTGAGATATGTCTGCAGTAATTCAGTGTATCAAATCATTTGCAGTTTCAGGTCTTTCTGATGTTTATTCAATAAAATCACAAAAGTGTCAAAGTTTACATCTATAAGTGTAGTGTACATAAAAACTAACAACCCCCTTGGATGTTTTTTGCTATCAGTCATGGTCAATATAAATGAGCCTTTTTCACCTGAATTTGTTTGTCTGTGCATACAACAACTGTTGCCCAGTTTTTTTCCCTGGTATAAGTTTTATGGAAGAGAGGCACAGAAGAGAAAACTCAGATTAAATCTGGACTGGAGTTTGTCAAACGACATGTGGAAGACCTCGGAGTCAAGTGCTTTTCAGCAGCCGACGCTGGAAGGCTTGTAAAAAAGGAGGGTGGAAAAAAATGCAAAATGTACGGACGTCCTGGAGGACAATCTTGAAAACTGTTTCTCCCATGTCACCTGCTGAAGCTTGCAGCTCCTTCAGAGGGGTCACAGGGTGTTAGTGGTCTCTGTAACTGGTCTCCTTCTTGCACAGTCCCTCAGTTGTGAGGACCACCTTCTCTGGGTAGATTTACACATGTCCCATATTTCTGAGTGATGGTTTTATGCTTTTATTGCTGCCATAAATCAATCATGATCAATATAAATTGGCTTTTACACACACACACACTCCACCCCCACACACACAGATAATCACGATTGCTCACTCTTCATAGCAGTGGGCCGTCATAAAATCTTGAATAAATTTCATGTTATTTATAAACAATGAATAAAATTTGAAAATTAGATATGCCTTATTTTGTGTTTGTCCTGTTTATCTCCCTTCTCTGTTAAAGGTATATACCCATAATTTCTGGACTATTGAGCACAGCTGAATATAAGCCATGCTCACTTAAAAAAAAAAAAGTTTTGGACATATATAGGCTGCCTGTATACGCCACGGGTGTCGGGTGTGATCTGTTTGGTAATTTCATTGGTCATATTTTTTTACCTTTATTTATACAGGTAGTTTCATTAAGTCACGAGGACCCACCCTTAAAGAGAGACGTGTATTGGGTGAGTGCCCAGGTGTGATGGACATGAAGCTCATTAGCCCGTCAAAAAATAAATAAATCCATAAGTTAGACGCAGCATTGTATAAGCTGCGGGGTTCAAAGCCTGTGAAAAATGTAGTGGCCAATTCAGAGCTGGTCAGCTGAATGTTTTGTTCCAGATCACGCTGTTGACCTCTGTTGATCTGAACCGAACCAGGACCATGCCTTCCAGAAGGAGAGGATTTTCTGGAAGCTCGCTTTGTTCTTCGCTGTGGATTATCGGTTTCTGCCTGTTGGTTCTGGACCCAGCATCTGTTCATCATGAGAGCAGCTGGAGTAATTCTTCTAGATATGGGTGCTGGAGCTCCCCTCAGTCCAATTCGAGCTGTAGTTGGACCACCACGTCGGACCTGTTGGCCCATTTGACCAATGATGCTGTCTGGTCTGAGACTTTTCTGCACCATTCACATTATTTCCATCATTTTCAGATCTCTGGAGTCACTGAACCTTTTTAACACATCTGGATCTGCCTTTACCTGCAAACGTCACTGTTTTTGGGTTCTGAGCAATCATGTCTTTATAAACTTTTCTCATGGTTCGATAGTGGGGGCTAATTGTCACACTTTTAACTCCTGTAATTACTCCTATAAATATTCTCTCTTTTTTATTATCTGTTATTTTTATATATTATGTGATTCCTTGAGTATGTTCCATTGTATTGAAACTCTGGCACAACAATTTCCTGATATGTCACACGCTAGGTGTGTCACACAGGCAATTGGAAATGTGATGCTGAATAAAACAAAAAGCAGAACCAGAACAGTCCTGTCACAACCCGGCAGAGCTAAAAACAGCGGTCTTCTGATGTATCCACATTTCCTTCAGAAGTCAAGCTTTGGTTTATATAAAGCTACTCTACAAATCTGACACAAAAAGGGAAAATACATCTACAATCAGGGAAATTGCAGCTTAAATTTATTTTGTATGTGAGACATTCAGTTTAATAATTGTACTGTTTGTTTTGTGAGAAAATTTGTATTTTCTCTTTAAATGTGTGAATGCAATGTTGACGCAGGATTCACAATATTAAAACAACACCCCACTGACTCACACAGTGTGCAGAGGGGTGATGTCCTCTGTGGTCTATCCTCTGTCTGAATCCTGGTGCCCTCGATGGTCACTCTGTCTGAGAGTCGTGGTGCCCCCGGTGGTCTCTCTTCTGTCTAAGTCTTGATGCCCCTGGTGGTCTCTCCTCTGTCTGAGAGTTGCGATGCCCCCGGTGGTCTCTCCTCTGTCTGAGAGTCGTGGTGCCCCTGGAGGTCTCTACTCTGTCTGAGTCGTGGTGCCCCTGGTGGTCTCTCCTCTGTCTGAGTCGTGATGCCCCTGGTGGTCTCTCCTCTGTCAGAGAGTTGTGATGCCCTCGGGGGTCTCTCCTCTGTCTGAGAGTCGTGGTGCCCTCCAGTGGTCTCTCCTCTGTCTGAGAGTTGTGATGCCCTCGGGGGTCTTTCCTCTGTCTGAAAATCATTGTGTCCTTGGTGGTCGCTCCTCTGTCTGAGAGATATGATGCCCTCGGGGGTCTCTCCTCTGTCTGAGAGTCATGGTACCCCTGATGGTCTCTCCTCTGTCTGAGAGTTGTGATGCCCTCGGGGGTCTTTCCTCTGTCTGAGAGTTGTGGTGCCCCCGGTGGTCTCTCCTCGGTCTGAGTCGTGATGCCCCTGGTGGTCTCTCCTCTGTCTGAAAGTCATGGAGTCCCCAGTTGTCTCTCCTCTGTCTAGTTGTGGTGCCCCTTGTGGTCTCTCCTCTGT